CCACCTGCAGACAGTGGGTGCTGAGCTGGGGGGAGTTTCTCCTGACGGGTAGATTCTTTCTGTCCCCCAGCCCTGTCCATCCACCAGCTCGCTGCCCAAGGGGAGCTCAGCCAACTGAAGGAGCACCTTCGGAAGGGTACGTGTGTGTCTCTGGCCTCTCACCCCAGGGCACGCTCTTTGTCAAACCCTCAGCTGAGTTTTACAGCCTTTGCTGGCTTCACTGGGAGGCCAGGGAGCAGGGGAGGTTTTCCCTTTCCTGTTGCCAGTGTCTCATCCACGCCTGTGCAGGTGAGAACCTGGTCAATAAGCCTGACGAGAGAGGTTTCACCCCACTCATCTGGGCTGCAGCCTTCGGCGAGATCGAAACGGTCCGTCAGCTGCTGGAGTGGGTAAGGCCACGCTCCCACAGCCCCCCCCAGCAGGGGAGTTCCCATCTCCAACCCCAGCAGCTCCCAAATTGTCCTGCTGCCACCCCAGCCAACGTCTTCCCTTCCCCTGGCAGCACACGGGGCACGTTGGCAGAGCTGACAGCTCGGGGGCCGTTGGATGCAGCTCCCCGTGGGGCTGGGAGTTCAATCAGGGGCATGGAGAGCCTTATCTCACAGCTAGCAATAACTGCTTGTAATTAAATATCTGCTTATTAGCAATTTGAGATCAGGCTTATCACTTGGGCCCTGTGATCTGCCACTGAGCTGTCCTTGCAGTTAATGGGCTCGTGGCTGCGTCGTCCTTGAGGGGCGAGCTGGAGCTGGATCCTGCTGCATCCTGCTGCATCCTGCTGCCCCCCAAAGCTCAGACCCACATCCACACGTGTCTGAGGCTCAGTGGGTGCTCACACCTCACAAGCACTTGGCCAAACTCTGGCTCTGTCACTCCATTAGCAGCAAAATTGCAACGTGTGACCAGAGAGACAAGCAGAACCCAGAGTAAATGAGGTGATAGGTGGATAAAGGGTGTCCTGAAGTCCCAGAGAGGTCCGTGGTTGGCAGGGCTTGGAGGACAGGGAGGTTTTCTGTGTAAATTGGTGACAAGACACAGTAGATGCTGTCCAGGTATCTAGACAGGACTGGTGACACCGTTACTAGTGATGGGGAAAAGGAGCCACTGCCAGGCTCAGCTTACTGACACTGGAGAAGGGCTTTTGAGTCCTCCCCTGAGATGTTTGATGATGATTAAAACATGTCCTTTGGCCAGGAGAGGTCACTGGGACCACAGGAGTCATCTTGGGGGACCTGGCTCCAGGACCAGCTCCCCTGGGGTAGCCAGCAAGGGGTTGCTGAGCACTCCAGGTCTCAGCAGAGCTCAGGGGATCCCAGAACCCCAGCAGGGTGGGGCTGGAAGGGACCCCTGGAGATCACCTCATCTGACCCCCCTGCTCCAGCAGCTCACCCCCAGCAGGGTGCCCAGGGTCACAGCCAGGCAGGTTTGGGATCTCTGCAGAGCAGGAGACTCCACAGCCTCTCTGGGCAGCTGCTCCAGGCTCGGGCACCCTCTCAAAGCTGTTTTTCCTTCTCCCTGGGGTGGGGGCTGACCCCTGTGCCACTGTCCCCAGGGTGCTGACCCCCACGTGCTGGCGAAGGAGCGGGAGAGTGCCCTGGCCCTGGCCAGCATGGGTGGCTACACTGACATTGTCCTCCTGCTGCTGGAGAGGAACGTGGACATCAACATCTATGACTGGGTGAGTGCCACCGGGCACAGGCTGCACTGGGAGGGACAGGGTGCCCTGCAGGGCTCCACAAAGCTCTCTTTAAAAAGCAGCAGTGAGTTCACATCATGCTGGGCTGAATGAGCAGCAGTGCCTCTCTCCTAGATGCTTCCCAGGCTTGCAGCACTCTCTGCCTGCTCTTGTGGTTGGTTTGAGAAATTAATCTGGATAATGGAGGTGGGGTCAGTCTTCTCCTAAGAAACAAGGGACAGGACAAGAGGGAACAGCCTCAAGTTGCCCCAGGGGAGGTTGGGGTTGGAGCTGAGGGACAATTTCTTGCCCTGGAGGGTTGCCCAGGGCTGTGCCAGGCTGCCCAGGGCAGTGGTGGAGTCCCCACCCCTGGAGGGGTTTCCAAGCCGTGGAGATGTGGTGTGAGGGACACGGGGCAGTGGGGACCTGGCAGGGCTGGGGGATGGTTGGACTCGAGGGGCTGAAAGGTCTCTTCCAACCAGAACAATTCTAGGATTCTGTACTCATTTCAGACAGTTTCCTTGGTCCCTCACACTGGTGATGTCACCAGCCCCAGGGCAACAGTGCCCACAACTTCAGCCTGTCTTTAAAACCACACAATTTACAACTTGCTGTGTCCCAAACAGAGAAGAAAACCCGTGCTGTGAGAAACCCCCCAGTGGGGAGCTGGGGGAGGGGGGAAAGGGGGTCCCGGGGGTCCCAGCAGGTCGGGGGGCTGCGTGGGCAGGGCCCAGCCCTGA